TTTGATAAGATTTGATCTGTTGTTTTTATTGTTTACTGCCATGTGAGCTATCTTTTAAGATGTAGGAGCATTTAGGTTGATGTTTGAGGATGCTCTCTTTGAGGTTTTCTGGCAGCATTGCGATTGTCAAGTTATGGTACTGCATAAGTTGTGGATTAATGCGAAGTATTCCCTCTCCCCATAGACAAGCCTCCACCATGGACCAGATCACAGCTGTACTGGAGCCAGCAAAGCAGTTCACCAAGGACTCAATTCGGCTGGTGAAGCGGTGCACAAAGCCAGACAGAAAAGGTATGTCAAAGCTCAGAAAACCTCAAAAAGCAAAGCAAACTGACAAGTTGGAGATGTGTCACACCACGTTTTTACGTTGGCGAGTGAAACATCAGATGCAGTCGGCTGGGCCGACCTGGCGGTCATGTCCTCTGGAGCTTTGTGTACAACTTGGTGAGCGCTGGTTATGCTTTATGTAGTTTTCAGTCGCACAAAGTGTAGTCCTGTCTGAGGTGTATTGTATAATGGCACAAGCCACTGTTTTGCAGCCTGTGGGATCAAGTATGATTGTCCTGTAATGCTGCAAATGAGCAGAATGTGGCTTTTGAAATATGATAAACATAATTCTTGTTTAGTGCAAAAACTGCTGACCTAACCTGACTAAACCGAACCGAACCGAACCGAACCGAACCGAACCGAACCGAACCGAACCGAACCGAACCGAACCGAACCGAACCGAACCGAACCGAACCGAACCGATCCGATCCGACCCGACCCGACCCGATCCGACCCGACCCGGATCTCGGGAATCACCTTATGCAACTATAGGTCCGTGAAAGTTCCACAAAAAGTCGATAAAGGTCAGTGAAGAGGAAAACACGGTTGTATTGCCAGGTTTTCATCTTTCCGATTGTATTCCATCAAGCATATAACGTCGAGTCCGTTAATGGTCGCTCTCTGAATTAAGCTAGACTGGGCAGTAAAAGCTGCATGACTGGAAGTCAAGACCTGGTGTGCTCGTGAAGACGTATTACAGTGCATCGATAGGGAACTGCGTACTTGAACTCCGAGAGAGGCCACCGGTTCGATTCTCTAAGTGGCAATGCTCACATGTGCCGTGGCCTCAATATATATATATATATATATATATATATATATATATATATATACATACGTATATGTAATGAAGTGTAACACGCGGCAAGTTGAGCATTATTTCATAGCCGATAATATCCTAATCACGGAGCAAAGGCGCTATTGGGCACTCATCATTTCGCAAACTGCTTGTTTTTTCGGGCAGGTAAAGGAGGGAGTGGAACGTTTTCAACATGTGTGTCGGTTTGAATAAGTTCCAAGCAGTTGGCATCCCTGTAGAGGTACTGAATTTGGCCGGTGAAGGGAATCAGCGCCCCCTTGAGTCCCAGCTCTGCTAACGGGTGGACAGCGCAAGCTGTTCATTTCAGGGTCTAGCGAAACAGCAATAAACAATTTACACGGATGAATTGTGATTACCTGGACCGTGGTGGCAACCGGAACGCTTACCTGGACCTCGGTGACCTCGGACTCATTACCCGGTCCCTCGGTGACCCCGAACTCAGTACCTGATCCTTGGTGACCCCGGACTCATTACCCGGCCCTCGGTGACCCCGAACTCGTTACCTGATCCTTGGTGACCCCCGGACTTATTACCCAGCCCTTGGTGACCCCCGTGCTCATTAGCCCGGCCCTCGGTGACCCCGGATTCATTACTTGGTCCTCGATGACCCCAGACTCATTATCAGGCCCGCGGTGACCCCGGACTCATTACCTACCCTCGGTGACCCCGGACGCATTTCTGGCCCTCGGTGACCCCGGACTCATTACCCGACGCCTCGGTGACCGCTCTGAAAGCAGAATCATTACTGACCCTTGGTTGACCCGGAGACTCATTACCCGCCCTCGGTGACCCCGAACTCGTACCTGATCCTTGGTGACCCGGATCTTATTACCCAGCTGGTGACCCCGTATTACCGGCCCTCGGGGCACCCGGAACTCATTACTTGGTCCCTCGATGGACCCCAGACTCATATCAAGCCCGCGGGACCCGGACTCATTACCTGACCCTCGGTGACCCCGGACGCATATTTCTTTTACTGCCCTACGGTTGACCCCGGACTCATTACCCGACCCTCGGTGACCCGGATCGTACCAGGCCCTCGATGGCCCCCGGAACCCATTACCGACGCATGCTGACGAACCGCTGCTGGTTGTGACCGAATCTTTCAACAGCAAGTTAATATCCATTCAACAGTATTCTTGTGCCTTAGGTCTTTCGCGCAAAGCTCAGCTTATTTAGATTTGTGGTGTTAAGCATCGTTAAGACACATGGCGTCGGTATCTGCTTCTCACGCCGCCAGCTGTCAACTAGCCTGTGCATGGTTCGAACAAAACGGAACCGCTCACATTTTATGACCCAAAAGTTTAAGATTCTGTATACCAGTTGAGTTTAGCTGGATTTATCCCGGCTATCCCTGGCCATCAGCGGTGCGAATAACCAAGGCAGTTGGCGCGCCCTCAAAGCTCGTTGTCTGTTAATCTGTCTGTTGTCTAACCGCCGTCGTTTTGTAGTCATTAAGTGCCATTTTGACGGTGTGTGTTGCATAAAGAGTCTATTGTAGTGGATCTGTGCTTTGTTTTATGTTGGGTGATGCGATACGTAACATCAGTTTTTCGTGTTGCAGAATTCCAGAAGATTGCCTTTGCCACCGCCATCGGCTTTGCCATCATGGGTTTCATCGGTTTCTTTGTTAAACTTATCCACATTCCCATCAATAACATCATTGTGTAAGTATGCATTGATGTGTGCTGCGCATTGTGTATGGTCCACATGCTGCTATTAATGCATAGCGATTTGGTGTCCACCGCGTTTTTCTATGTCTGTTTATCTTCCCACGCCTAATCTTTGTGATAGTCACAGGCATGCCAGGAGCGTGATTTCCTGGTTTTATCACGCAAGTTTAGGGGCGCTTTTTCTAGATAAGGAAAATAGATGATCTTTAGTCGCTACTACCATAGTTAAAAACAGCAATAACGCTCTTTTAAGGCGCGATAGTAGCGATACATTTCATGCCGCAAGTCCTGAGTTGCATGCGTCGATCCTGCAACATAACAGTCCTTTGGGTGAGCCATTGCTTTGTGCCTCAACTGTGTGATTATTTCCTATCGATCGAGTCCACGATTGGCGGGCCGTGGAACGGTGGAAACACCGATGCGCCGCCGTACGACACGTGCGCGCGCACCGCCGACTGGAATGCGGACTGACCTGCCGCCACTGACCGCGCCACTCGCTGCAGGGGCTCGTAGGGCCGGCGGGTAGGAGGACGAGGACGGAGCTGCCGCGCCTGGGGCGCCCTCTGCTGCCGGGGCCGGCCTGCCGGCCGGCCGGCTGCGCTGTTACCGACATCGCCCTCGGCTGAATAATTTATACTGCGTCAGTGCCCCGTCGGGTGGCGCGCTCTGCTGCATTGGGAGATGTCCGGGGGTTATCAATACACGTCATCTTTATCTTTCTGTGCGTTTGGAAGCACCCGGCGAGGGGAAGCTGCAGCATGGCGCTTGAGATGTTGTCTGTGACGGGTCAGGAGGGCGTGCTCCATTCTGGGAGGATCTGCTGAGTTGGGGAGGGATCTGTGGAAGAATTGCACATCAGAGTGGCCATCCATCTGGTATTCAGCAATGCTGATGGCGCATGTCTGTCTGACATGGGGCGGCCAGTGGTGTCATCGGCGCTCTCCCTGTCGCGTTTGTTATCGTTGGCCCCAGGCCAGACGCTGCGTGTCGGGATGGTGCATCGCAAGGGTCGGAATCGCCACTGGCCAGCGGCGAACACTGGTCTGGAGCAAACACGGTGTCATTCTGGACGAGGCCGCGGCTTTTGTTTATGTGGCGGGCGTCGGGGGACACCCATTGATTTTAAGTTTTCTATTCTAAAATCGTTAATCTGAGCTCTCCAAAACAATTCTAAGCGCAATATTATCGGATAAATCCCCAGGCGTCAATGCCTCGTCGTGGGAACCGTCTCAGGGGTGGCAAGAAAGTTCCTCAACGTTGGCGAATTTGATACAACGCCTACTGGGAAGTGTGGGAAAAATGCTCCCACCCTCAAAGCCACGACATCCTCTAGACTACCAAATCAAAATTCTCAAATTTGATTGATTCTCAAATTTCCCGTGACGAAGCCACCGCCAGGGGCTTTTACGGTGGCGTCCGGGTGACCGCGTTATGGTGCGGATAGCAGTGGACGTAGGCAGAGGCGCTCGTGCACCTAAGTTTAGATAAGCGTTAGAATTACAGAGAACTTGGCATTCTATCCATGCACACCTCAAACCCCTCAAAGATCACCAGCCACGCCAGCAGACGATGCTCATCCGAGGCGAAATGCAGATTTTTTTTTCGATTTCACGAAGACTTATGTGGCCCACCCAGAATGTAGTTGTCTCAAGTCTTTTCTCCGGCTGCTCTGAGCCTGGCGCTACCGATCCAAATAGTAGCGCAGTCTAAGTGCTGTTCGTATCACACAAGACGCACGAGTTGAGTTGGGTCGGACGGGGGGTGGGTTGACCATCTGGGATTCTAAATATTAGCGTAAAATTGACTCAAATGAACATGTATCCCCACTTCCACTTCATACAAGTCCCAGAAGTGGTCGTGTGGTTCGCACTTTGGGCTGCTGGTGTGCACGCCATTGGGTTTTCAAACAGTAGCGACGACCAGCCGTGTTAATGAGCGACGTCCAAATGCAAATATCAATTCTCTATATTTTAAGCACCGTCGGTTCACTGATAAAAACTGGAGATTTTTTCCAGTGGAGTGCGTTTATGCAGGAGCAAAATCTGTGGCAATGATAAATACATCTATATATATATATATATGTTGGGATGCATATGATTATATTCATATGGGATCCACATATAGCAACAATGTGATTAACAATAATATCATAAGTATTTTTTCTGCCAGTTATTAACTGCTTGTCTGTCCGTGCAGGTCATCATATTTCAGATGTACCTGCTTTAAGTTAGCCCTTTCATATATGCGTCAACATTTTATACACAAGGATAACAACACCAAGCATGGAAGTAAGGGACATGAAGCCAGGTATTAAGAACCTGAACATAAACCTCATTTTATTGGACATAGGTGAGTTTAATACCCTATCCATCCTTTTTCATTTACAATTGATCTCTACAAAATAATTATTTTTGCATCATACGAAGGAGGATTTTCCACATGATGTTAGTGCCATAGATAGGTATCCTGATTATCTGATTCAAGAATAAGTTGATATCACTCACATAAAATCACTATATTAGGGTAATGTGATTATTCCTGATAACAATTCTTTCTGCTCCATGCTGCATCACATAACATGCACTAATCAAGATCACCCCTGCTATATTGTCCTGTGGACTGCCATCCAGCAGCATGCTGTACTAAAATCTCAGTGCTGCCTTCCATGTACCATCAGGGCGACCCAACAAGACAAAGGAGGGACATGATGTGCGGACATGCAGAGTGGCTGATCGGTCTGGGTCTATCAATATGTCCGTGTGGGATGAACCAGGTGCCCTTCTACAGGTAAACACACAACTTGTGTAAGTGCAAGGATGCTTTGCTTGTCAGATCACAAAACTCTTCAATTCTGTGTTTTGTTCCCTTTTGTCCATCATGCCATGTATGTTTTTCATGACACTACCCTGATCAGTTGTTGAATGACACATTGTCGATTTTTCAGCCAGGAGACATAATTCGCGTCACAAAGGGGTACACATCAGGTGTGGAAGAACTGCCTGACCCTGTATGTGGGAAAAGGTGGTGAACTGCAGCGGGTTGGAGAGTGAGTAGAGAGTTGTATGGTTTGCAGTTCTCCTGGCGTTGGTCGCTGGTTACCTGTGGGCTGCTCAGACGTGACGCAGCAGCTACCTTTCCTTGTTTTCCCGTAGGAATACCTCATGCCTCCGAGCATCTTCCAGATGTGAACAGTGGTGTAAGGCACTGTAATATATTTTGTGTTGATTGTGAGTGGACAATTTTGTTGGGTACATCATCTGCTCATTCTATATGACTTCTGTTCATTCATTGCCATTGCCACCTTCTCAATTCACTGGTTAATTTGTGCATCTGTACTTGAGTGATCTAAGACACTTCATGCTTCGATAATTAGGTCGAAAATTAGTCTTAATTGAGTCCATCATGTTCGTGCATATCTGCACTGGAGAACAGTAAACATCTGTGTCAGCTAGTGCAGTAGTTACTTGTCATATGCCAACAAATGGGTGACTAAGGCTGCCATCATGTGGTACATAGCTATGAAACGGGCCTGGTACTGTGCTGTTAGTCATTCATGAGCAGAATCCGTATTATTTGCAAATCTGGGCGTCCATTTGGCTATGGAGATCTAACTCGCTTGTGCCATGATTTTATAATAATCCTGGTTGCCCTATTCCAGCTTCTGCATGGTCTTCTCAGAGCTGCCCTTTATGAGCGAGCCCCAGGTCGAGTCCCAACAGCAGCAGCAACAACAGCAGCAACAACAGCAACAACAGTCACCGCCTCCGCAGATGCAGCCGGCAGCGACGGGGGCCGGCCAGCCGCCGTCGATGGCCGGCAGCCACAACGGCGCGCGTGACCCGCGGACGGCCGGCGCGCACCGCGGGGCCGGCGGCGGCGGCGGCGGCTGGCAGGGCGGCCGCGACCCGCGCAGCCAGCCCTACGGCCGCGCCCAGCAGGGCCGCGGGCGCGCCGCCAAAAACGACCCGCGCGTCAAGCGGTAGCGGTCGGCGGGTCGGAGCGGCGGGCGGGAGCGGCGAGCCGGCAGGAGTCGGGACCAGCTGGGCAGCTGGTGAACGCGTGACACCGGGTGGGGGCTGCCGACGCGCCGGTGGGAGTCGCGAAGTCCAGTGAGTGCGTAGCGGCGGGTGGGACGTGTGAGAGCTGGTGGGACGGATCGCAGCCGGTGGGACGCGTGAGCGCCCGCGGGACGGGCGGGAGAGCCGGTGGGACCGTTGTCGAGACGGCATGACGGGTTTCAGCTGATTGCCGACTGGGCACACTTTTGGAGTGGCTGTGGGCGACAGGACTGCAGAACGACCACTGCCAGCCAGGGCATCGCAGCGGAATCGTGCGTGCCGTGCTGCAGCGACGTTTGCGGCTGTTCGTGGTGCCACAGCATGACAGTTGAACCTGTCACCATTTTGTAGAGACTCAGAAGTGTCCAGGCTCGTGTTCCCACGTGGCCTGCTACGCCGCTGCCGAACATTGTGCTGGACTTTTGACTGCCTCAACTGGCATTTTACTCGTCCTTTCGGTGAAGGAAGCTTGTGCGGAGGAGGATCCCAGTGTCCGTGAGGTGCCTGAGCTGAGGTTTGTCCCAACCCAGCGTGCACACTGGTGTTTGTCGGTACGTGCTAGACGCGAGAGTGCTCAAACTTCCTGTGAGGTCCTGATGTGTTTCGTGTCATGGTGTGCGCTCGGGCGTCCCGTGAAGATGTGTCATGCCCTCTGTACTTGCGTCTTCTTTGTTGGATGCGTTTGAACGTCGTGCTTGTACATTCGTGCCGCGAACAACTTGGTGGGACGATGATCAGCCTGCTGGTCGCAGTTACTGGTGCTGAGATGAATAAATCGTGAACAAAAATTTGTCGGCTTGTTGAAAAAATTGCCGACCTAGCAATTCGGTGTACTGACAACCTGTGCAGGGGTCCAAAAAATGTGTCGTGTTCGTAGAGGTTGGTGAAAAAACGCAATTTTCCTGACATCGCTAGGTTTAGCGATTTCCGACCGAAACAGGTACAGCTTTTGATGGACCCGTGCTGTCGAGTCCCAACGTGTACAGACCGAAGATCACGAGGACAGGACGCCGTAGCCAGCCAAACAACCTTTAACTTCGTCGAAGTGAAAGTACACGCGTCCTCACGAGTGCGTGAAGTGGGTCTCTCTCTTGGGCTGATTTGTTAACAACGCAATTAATCTGTGGGGCTGAAATTTGTTTTGGAAGGTGTTTGACAGTGTAGGTATGCACTTTTAATTGTCACGGAACGAATAATTGGAGAATGGAACATGAACACGAGAACGAAGAATGGAACATGAAAAGGAGTGATTTCTCATCGCCTGTCCCTGAACATTTGTTGAATTCGGTTGCTATCTGGATGAGCGAGAACGACAGTCGTTCTCTGGCATGCCTGTCGTGCATTCAAATTTACTCACGCGCGGCGGTATTGACATGGCTTTATTAGATCACAGAGCATCGACTTGCACGCGGCGTGGGTTGACGACGTTTGTACAGGCACGGACGCTTCAGTCACTGCATGGTCTTCCGCTAACGCCCCCGTTCTTTTGGACTCTGGTGCCGCGGAAGATGCCCTGGCACGAGATATCTATATATTCTGCAACGGACAAGCGGCCCACAGAAAGCAACGTAAAGCTAGATCTAACTGGCACTGGATCCACGGCTAGCTTAGGCTTCGAGGTTCAGCTGGAGCTAACACGATCACGGCTAGCGAAAGCTAACTCATAGCGTTGGCAGGGTTAACACATACAGAACACGGATAAGCACAGTTTAAAGGACGCGTGAACGAGCCGGGTGGTGGACTATGCCACTGGCCGGCGGTGCAGCCCCCCTAGTTCGCAGCCGGCGTGCGCAGATCGCCCGTGCAGGACTCGGCGCGCCGGCGCACATACTGAATCACTGCCTGGTTCTCCAGGTAGATGGCGTTGCGCGGCTGCGGCAGCGCGCCATACAGATTGCGCAAGCGCTGGTCCTGCGTGCCATCGGCCTTCTTGTCCGGCGTCGGCCGGCGCCGGAAGAGCGCCGCCACGTCCTGCAGTTCGACCCCGCGCGTTTCCGGCACCAGCAGCCCCGTGTAGACGGCGAGCGCCACGCAGCAGGCGGCGAAGCCCCAGAATGTGCCGTGCGCGCCCAGCACCTGCGTCAGGAACGGGAATGCCTGGAGCACGGCGAAGTAGACGAGACCCCAGACGGTGAGGATGGCGCCGTTGGCCACCATGCCGACGGAGGCAGGGATTAGCTCTCCGAGCAGCATCCAAGTGACAGGCGCGATGCCGAAGCTGGCCGCCGCCATGTAGAGGATGAGCGCGACGATGGGCACCCAACCGAGCGCGCCGCCGGGCGGCAGCAGGCTGCGCTGCTGCGCGAAGAAGAAGCCGCCGAGTGCGACCAGTGCCAACGCCGACACAAGGCTGGAGGCGATCAGCAGCGTTTTGCGACCGAACCGGTCGGCAAACGCCGACGCCAGCACGTTGCACACGAGTCGTGTGCATCCCAGAATGACGGCGCAGAGGTACTCGTCGACGGACGAGCCCGAGATCTGGAAGATGGTGACAGCGTAGCTGAGCACGGCCAGCATGCCGGAGAGGATCTGCAGCACGAAGAGGCCAGTGACCAGCAGGATGGGAACGAGCGCCTCGCGCCGCACCATGCGCCGCAGCACGTCCGCCACGCTGCCGCGGTCCTCGCGCTTCTCGGCGCGCTGCATCGCCGCCTGCATCTCGCGCTCGGCCGGGAAGTCCTCGCCGCGGTAGAAGCGGTAAGACGCGGCCGCCTCCTCGAAGCAGTAGTGCGCCGTCAGCCAGCCGGGCGACTCGGGCAGCCAGAAGAAGCCGGCCGTCATCACCACGTTGGGCAGCAGGCCGAGCGCCAGTGCCATGTGCGACCAGTGCACGGCCGCGCCCACCGCGTAGCCGACCAACAGGCCCAGCGAGCAGAATACCTCGGGCGCGGCCGAGAGCAGGCCGCGTGCCTGCGGGCTAGCGATCTCGCAGATGTACATGGTGTAGCAGGAGAGCGTGGTGGCGTTCAGGAAGCTGACGAGCAGGCGGCCGCAGATGACGAGGCGCAGGTCGCTGGCGAGGGCCACCAGCAGCCAGGAGGCCACGGCCGGCGGCCCCTGGAGCATCATCAGCCGGCGCGGCCCCATCAGGCGCAGCAGCACCGAGCTGAGCGCGCAGCCCAGCACGATGCCCGCCGTGGTGATGGACACTGCCGGACACGGACCCCAGTCAGCGCGCGCGGCCTCCCACACCAGCGACGCGGCGGCGGCGCGGCGCAGGGCCCGGCGGGAGACGAGGATAGGGCACGCGCCGGTGAGGGCTTCACGGGCAGTCTTAGCTGGGAGAGTGAAGGGTGCGTGCATATTTTCTCTCGCTACGCAGCTACTAGGCGACCCAGTCAGCAAATCGGTGATCTCGTGGTTACCGATTACCGATACTGATATTGGATAAGTGAAGTGACAGCATGCAGCTGGGATTAAGTTAGCCTGGTTTAGCTAAGGCCTTTTGACAGTTAAGTGAGTTACGACTATAGAGACGAAGTTCACTAGCAACCAGGTATGGGAGCGAAGCCAGCCTCGGCTTTGGCTTTGCGAAGCCGCAGTTTTCCTTCAATGCTTTAGGGTCAGCTTCAGCTTTGGGTCATTTACCACGACTGGCTTCGGCTTCGTGCCATTTTGAGCAGCTGGCTTCGGGTCCAGCTTTGGTATTTTTTTTTAGCCGGCGGCTTTGGCTTTGGTTTCGAGCAATCTTTGGATTATAGCTCGATGTTCGGCTTCACGTGACCTTGAACTGCTGGCTCCCACTATGTTATCGTGATTTTTATTAATTGAAAATGCGACTTCCTCACAAAAACAACCTTAACCTTTTTGTTCCCCAACATCCACACAAATATACGAAGCTGCAAAACGTACATGGCTGAGAGCCCAGCCCAGCAGATTATTCTCGGAACAAATTGAACTGACAATGGCCAGGCAGCTAACTGTCCAAACCGCTGTGTTGGTACCAAATAGAAGACAAGGACGATAGTGTTAAACGAAGCTCGCCTGTAAAGATAACGCCTGGTCCCAATTACTCCGCAAAATAACGACGCCATTTTGACCTCGTATAAATTTAGCACACGCCAACAAAGTTTTGTTGGGTAAAGCAATGCAGTATTTGGCTTCGGCCTCGGCCTCGCAACCTTAAACTAACGCGTTCGGCCTCGGTTCCGTATATCTCCGTGTAAATTCGAAGCATCGACTTCGGCTTTGACTTGACCTGTGCTGGTTCGAAGCCGCTGGTTTCGGATTCGGGTTTGACGTTTAAAAAATACGAAAACAATGGCTTTGGTTTCGGCTCCGCAGTTCCAAACTTCAAAATGCACCAGTTTCTGCCTCGACAACGGTTTTATGTCATTGGCTTAGCTTCGAATCAGCTTTGAAGAAGCCTGTCTTCGTCTCCATGCCTGCCAGCCAATATGCAGGTTCATCAGCAAGGCCCGGTGCCTCATATTAGTGGCTATACTTAAAAGGAACCTTAATACCTTCACGCAAATCAAATGTTGAACATAATGGCTCCTGTGCGACATACATGCTTGAAAGTGTAAATATTTGCAGCCGTAGAACCTCAACAGAGTCCATGAAACCACTCACATGGCGTCATTTTAAACGGCCACATTTCTGCCTTCTTCTCATGGACGGCGACTCTCGTTTCCCCGCGCCACGAATGGCATAGACCGGTGTTTGGTTAAACTGGCAAAATCCTTGCTTTACTTGACTGATGATATGAGAAGTCGCGCAGACTAAAAGACAGTTCAGACAGACGGCTTACCAGCGCAGACAAAGACGCTCATATTTGAATGCAAACATGCTGTCACTTCAAATCCTATTCGGTTATCCAGTCATTGTACTGCTGCCGGCGCAGGTGCAATGATCACGGCCAGCGAATGATGCACTGCACATGGCTTAACGCATACTATCCTAATCATAAAGAGTAATGGACTGAAAGAAACAGACAACGCGGTCAACACAGCGGAATGGCCTCCAATGTCTGCTAGCCAGACACCGGAGCTGGGTCAAAGCATGAACAGAACGTGCGCTAACTCACAACAGACAGAGAACCCCCGGTGCCGGGCGGCCGGCCGGCTATGCTGAAAGACAGAGAAGAGCACACGATGTCATGGGTCAAACGCGTTGGCCTCTGGTAGGCGCTATTGCAAGCCATGGCTACCGTAAGGAAATGCGGTTGGCGAATGATGACAGGCTGTGGTCGAGCACCGGCTGACTTTGCATGCCAGTTACGCTCCTCACAGTGAAAGCATACGACGATTAGAGTTAGGGATTTGAAAATTAACGACGCCAATGCCAGAAATCATTCAAAAGGTGGCACGATTGTCCTTAAGAAAAGCGGAAGTGTAGATCTAAGCGCAGCGTAACAACGTGGAAAACGTGCTTAAATTTGACGGTGTGCATTTCCTTTAACCACACCACCATTGCTAGGTAACGGGATACGATCAACGTCCAGGTCGTGCGTATTTCAATGCAGCAGTTGAAAGCTCATGCATGATCGCAAGTCCCTGCTCAGTTCAAATATCGCTCTACCAATTGATTATAGAGGCGCAACAAAGCGTTGCTACCAGAAGAGATGAACTCATGAAGTTAATGCCGTCCAAAGATAAAGCCCTATATGCCAAATTTTGGCCGTTTTACGTTTTCATGTCGTCTAATTCGTCTACTCATGTTGAATTTGGTGATTAAAGAGATAAGTCCAATTTTCAACAAGCTTCTAGCCCTCTCTTTTAGCTAAAAGCGTTTGCAAATTTGAACTGCTGGTTTAAATAAGACAGTAGTATGGTTGTATGTTGCCGAAATATCAACCTAACCATATCTCCATTCTCCATGTTTTTCTGAGGAATAAGGCTAATACTGCTGTCTTACCTATGTGGATAATGTTCCTCGCTAACTGCACTGAACAGCTTACGTGATGCTGGTTTAAATATCTGAATGCAGCATGAGAAGACGAATCAGATGACATGAATAGCGGAAAATGGCCAGAAATGAACATATGGGGTTTTACCTTTGGACGGCAGAATTGATCAAGTATGCTAGTTGAGGTGCGAATGTATGTTTGCGTCCTGCCCGAGCGATGCACTTTTCAATGACATCACTTCCTCTTGTACAATAGAATGATATGAATGCAACGTCCACCATATGGTGTACACGAACCTATTGAATTACGCAATGCATGTTTTTAGATGATCGAAAACAACACATCGGGCACTTGCCGAGGCGTGTCATTTCCGGCAGCCACGGACGTTTTCAAGAGCCCAGTGCAGCAAGCGCCCCCGATGACCCTGTAGGACACTGATCTATCGGCATACGAAACACGAGTGTGCGTATGGGCCCGTGCGTAAATGCACGATTTTCTTCGTTCGCTGTCATCTCTATCATCAACGTGTATTTCACGGAGTCGTGCTCCGGGTGCGGATGTCATCCAGTGTTCTGAGTGCGCTGTCCTGTTTCCCGGTGTTCTGAGTGCGCTGCCCTACTTCCTAGTGTTCTGAGTACGCTGTCCTGTTTCCTAGTGTCCTGAGTGCGCTGTCGTGTTTGCCCAACTGTCTCATTTTAATCGGTCTGGTTTCTCCGCGCTTGTTAGTATCGGTCCGTGCATGTGAATCCGAAGCACTCTGAAGTTTTCGTACGGGCTGACAATGTCGTTAATCTTTCCACTTTGTTACTTCATCCGGTCTATCAGAAAGCCTGGCAACACGTCGATAGTCATCGGTATGCATTGATCCATATGTGCTTACCCTGAGAAGTGCGCCACATTCATAGGTTTAGCATCCCAAATTGAATTAAAATGAACATTGAAGAGGCTCGGGCTCTAGTAGCCATCAGCGTACATGACGTGGGTTTTGTCAGGATGCACTCAGACTCAATTATGTGTGGGGTTACTCGGGCTCAATTGTATGTGAGGTCACTCGGACCCAATTCTGTGTGGGGTTACTCGGGCTTAATTGTATGTGATGTCGGACTGTGTGTGACTATGTGTGATGATGTCACTCGGACCCGATTATGTGTGGGGTTACTCGGACTCAGTTGCACTCGGACTCAGTTATGTGTCTTGAAATTCGGAACGGCAAAAGCATGTAAGCCTCAATAGGAGAAGATGCGTACGTGAGCATCGCTTTGTGTTATGAAATTTAAATAACTCCTATGCAAGCACAATTTATATCTATTAAATGCGCTGCATTGCATATGATATATTTGCGTTATATCTCCACCGCTGAGCCATGACAGTCATTTTGTCGCTGCAGGTGAGTTTATCTAGCGTCTACATCATAATCTTTCGATAATCAACATAGAATGTGAAGGTGTTCTGATGCCAAATTGAGTTAGGTGAGTAACACGCCGCATGAATTGTGTACACCCCTCAACAGCCGAGCCTTTTGCGCATATATCATAAGCCACGTAGTGTGTGCAGCGATTCAGGTTCCGGAGAATTATGAGTAAAAAATGTATTTGACCAAACTGATCGACATGCACCAAGAGGCAATGCCATGAGACATTAGGGAAAACTAAATGAAGGCACCGAACGTTTCGACAGCTTGCCTTCCTAAACTAGCGAAGTAACTAGTACATTATTCCACTCGCAAAACAAGCGTGAGAATAAAGAGCTATGGGAGCGCCGCTTACCCAGCAGGCTCTGCTGTTCCGGCGAGAGCAGCAGGCTCGCATCAGCCCGCAGCTGGGGAACCAGGATCGCAGAGAAGGCCATGATGATGCCGATCGAGAACTGCGTCATGGACGCCAGCCCCGTGCCGATGTACTGAAAAGGGAACCACATGAAGTCGCGAGCGTTCTTTGAAGATAGGCCTAACTATCCAAGGGAACAAACTGCACGACACATTTCATCGCTCCGGCAACATGATATTACCTTGCATCACATCCTTTCGACCAAGGCTTCCAAAACAGGCTGCAGTGAGGCATAGCATATTCGTGCTGATACAGACTGAATTGGAAATAGCATACCGAAGCAGCATTTCACCACTTTTGACTGCAGTAAAACATATGCTCGTAGTGCGTACCTGTGGCCATTTCCTGAGCTTGATTCTTCCAAAGTAGCTTGCAATCTCGATAACAGTCTCGGGACTCTTGTCCATTCCTCGCCGATCGGGAGCTGGCGCTGGCGAGGATCCACAGATCTGCGGTACGAGACGTCGCCCGGGCGCTGCCGCCTTATATGGGGCCGGCCCAGCCGTGCTGAGAGCTCAGGCGGCTGGACGTGACCCGGCATGGGGGTTCACGCGCCAGTCGAGCACGGACGGCTGGTGGTGCGCAGCGGCGGTCATCAGGTGCGCCGCCGTCGCTGGGCGGCGGGGACGCGTGCTGTACGCCGCAGCACACCGCGCATGCGCGCCCCAGCGGCGGCATGCCATCGTCCGGGTTGGTGGTTGACCTGCGAGTTGCTGGGGCGCGCCTTAAGGAGATCCTCCTCGCTAGGCTGCGAATAGGACACACAAAACTAACTCACGCACAATTCGACCAAAACGTGCTGGTTTTTCTCATTTGCAAGGGTTTGTTCCGAGCATAATTCGGCATAAACGTGCTGGTTTTTTCCCATAGGTTAAGGAATCCGTTTTTTTGTAGCTAGGACTTTTCTCGGATTACATTACACAACACGACAAGGTCGTACCGGGCCGCTCCCCCCCCACTCAGTGAGGGGAGCGACCCGGTTCAGGTCGCTGACGAACTTGACCGCCGAGCCGGGGGGCCGCCGTTTGCCGCGCGGGAAAACCTTTGCTGCGACGAGGTGGTCGTCCGCTATCCAAACGTATTGTGATGGTTGAATACACTGAATGTGTGTGTGTGTGTGTCTCGTGTCTTACTTTGCATTTGCTACCGGACGAAATTAGCCGGTCTAACGTAGTATCGAGCGCGTTTTCTTGCATTGATACCGGGCAGCATTATCCGGTTTAACGTAATGTAGCCTACCCCTGTCCCTTGCTTTGCGCCGGATAGCCCAAGCCGGCTTAACGTAGCTTTTTTCCTGGCCTGAAGCCAGAAGTAAGTTCCCCCAGCCCCGGCTATGACTTTAGGTCGCCGGGGCAAAACAAGAGCTGCTGGGGTGAGGTTTTAACCATCTTTTCGGGTAATGGTGTATACCAGCTGTCGGGGGCGTACAACATCCTGAACGAAAACAGTGAACATCTTTTGTCAAAATTGTGTTAACCATGTCATGCTAGAGTAGCGTTGCAACGGGGCGCGTGTTTTGCATACAATGTGCTTGTGCAACTTTTGCAACTTTTCCATTATTGATTCTTTGAGGATTTTTGGGTCTTCAGAAACTCTTACGCATTGCAAGAGGTGGCTCTAAAGGTGGCTCTAGGGCGCTACCTTCCTTCGTTAAGTTCATGTCCTTCCCATTCAGTGCTAGTAGTGTCCTCACGTGTTCATGCAGCCCGGCCGTCTTACAAAGAAAACTGCACTCGGTAATGTACTGCACCCTGTGCTCCTTTCAGAACTCTATGCGACTGTGAGGCTGACCAAGTCCTTGCGAGACATATAGGCACTTCACTGCTCAGTATGGAGGGTGGGGTTGAAACTAGGAACACCATAATATTTATTTAGGATTAGGATTTTAAACATTTAGAGGAGTCCGTGGAGTGGTTCTTCTCCTGCTACATCCGCCTGACATAACGTGGGTTTCGATACACCCTGCCGGGCATCTTGCCTACTGCCTTCCCAGTATCTCATCGGCGTTAACACGAGTGGATTTAAATGCACTTATAATACGTCCCCCTCTCCACTAGGCTGAGCTGCCGTTGCTTCCACTGATCCGCATAATTTACCGACTTTCCTTCAACCCCACGCATCTGTCCAACTATCATCATAAACCACATTCATTCGTCCTATCCATAATCAACTTCGGCCCCACAAGTTTTTTGTTTTAGTTCATTCCAGTGGCGCACAGGGTTGTGGTGGAGTACTATTGCATGATATACTGCCTAATTGGGTTTTAGGGCCTGCCGTTCACACAGGGATTTCCTGGCTGAGATCTTATGCCGTCTTCGCGGAGCACGACATCTTTCGACGTTTTCGCGAGAAACATGTGGCGACTGCACCAAATCGCACCTCCCGCATAGCTTTGTAGGCGCCGCTCCTGTTTTATGAAAGACATCCGGACGGTTTATGCCAACCTCGACTGGTAAAGAGCACGTCAACAGCCCACAACTGATACCATGTTTCCTTATGGTCTTTGGAGGCCCTTCATCCTTAGTATCGCCAAGGTAGCGTCCTTGCCCCTAAGAAAGCCTGCATTTGCCAATGCCAACCACTCAGGGATTTCCTGGCTGGTACTTTATGCCGTCTTCGCCGAATACATGTTTCGGAAACGTCTGTACGAGAAACTCGTGACGACACCGAGTCGCGCCTTCCATGAAGTCTTATGGGCACCGTCTCTGTATAATGAGAGTTCCTGTGACTAACGGCCATTCTCTCTTGAAAGAGATCAACCCTTCTGCGTGATCACTTCTGATCTGACGGTCAAAAGTCCCATCTCCTCTCTCAGCAAAGTTACCAATGTCGGCGGACATCATGGGCATGAGAGCCCTGCACACATAGCCGTCTTCGGCCTCACGCACCTGCTTGGTTGTTATTGATGTGTCCAGATGGTGTGTTTAGCTTATCCCCAGCGGCCTGACAGTATCGAGAGAATGTTCATTTCCTTCAAAATCGCCCTCTTCGGAAGCTGGAAGGGCCAACACACCTTGACATTAAAATTACATAATTTGTGACATGGTTTGCTCAACGCACTCCCCATCTAACCATTATATCCCAGATCTTGTTTCCATTATATTACATTCGAATCCAAGCTATAACATGGGTTAGCAACAGGATAAATATGCCCGGTTCAATAAAGCCCAGTTAATAATTCTCAGTGTAACTTCATGACACATACGCCTAATGATGTGTGTGTTGCACCCAATATGGGCTTATAACATAAAAGTGTGCTGTTGTGTATGTAGTTCGGGAGGCCCCCTGACGTCAAGTCCAGGCCCACACCCCAGTTTTGGATGTGGCCTAGTACGTTAGGACACCATGCGCCAATCAGTAAAATCGTCTGTCGCCTGATTTCACGGCAATGCATTACATAGGGGCACTGATCCCAGGCTAGGTGTGTAGCATGACTCTAGGAAAAACCTACCCATGAGAGGTGAATGTGTTTTTAGTCACGTGCCAGGATCACGTGTCACGTGCGAGGTCATGTGTTATTTCAGGTTAGATCCTCATGAGACAATCACTACAAAAATGAACGCGCTTTTTTAGTCCCTTACACCATTCATTTGTGGATATCACTTGAAATCTATTTTCAGGACATACAGGTTGACTCTGGCTCGCTCCTGGGCTTATCATGATCTCTGACCTATGCATAGCGTGAAAAAGCTACCAAAGTTTTGATATGATAACATCGAACCACAAGAGAAATGTATCGCAGCATATGGTTCAGGCATTGGTTTTGCCTTGACACCATCAAGTAACACACCTTCCTGGATGCGAAAAATGAGCGATTGATTGCACTTTGAATCAGCGAAATCGGTCCATCGGTTCCAGACACATGTACAGAGCGGCACAAGAGCTTCGGTAGGTTGTGAATAGCAACACAACCCATTCAATGCTGAAATTCAAATATGCTTACCTTATTACTATTGCTCGCAGATGTCATTACTATAAAAAGGGCTGCAGCTAATCGAATGTTCTTTCATTGGTCTAAAGTCATATGCGTAAGAACGTTTCAAAAAGTTTGGGGGGGGGGCAAGCTCAGGGTGTACTTCAGGAGCTTTTTTCTGGAAAGCGAGCCTGATGACCTGGTGAAGGGGGTAGGGTAGGGATGGAGATTGTTATCGCTCTTTATTCAAATGTAATGGTTGCTATGTTAGCTATACATCTAGAGCTGTTTATCACTGGTGCACAATCTTGCCTATTCGCCTCATCTGTCATTTGGCAATTAACGCTATCCAGCTTCCCTAGAATATTCGTCCATTTTAACACTGTCTTTCCTGGGGAGACGAGATTCCACGAGCGGGTAGGTCTTTTGGGTCATTAAGGAAGCATTTGCCTCCACAGTGTAGATGCCAAAATACGGCATGGATATAGGCTAGTGAAAATTTTAAATTTGGATCGATGGCTCACAGTGCGCCAGGTTTTTTATGCGCCCTCATTTCGTTGGCTGCTTTTCAAGGAATAAGACTTGTCGCAGAATTTTAGGCGGAAACAAATTCGGGAGCTTGAACGTGTTAGAAACAATGTGACAAAATCCATAAAACTGGAGATTCCCTTTAAAGAATCAAGCCACATAATAAGGCCCACCTGTCATGTGTTCCTTATCTGGGCCCTGCTCCTGTCCGCCGTCGGTGGTCACTGCCCTGGCCTGGATGTCTCCCGCATGACTGACTGCGAGCTGATCGTGTGGCTACTTTGTTGCGTACTTTTGGATCAGCGTTACTTCTGCATGGTGTATGAAACATGTGTTGGACACCTGCAACAGTATTTTTCCCGAATTATCTTCCCTCATACTACACCATCGCAGAAAAATAGCCTCCGGGAAGCTGTCTGCCTTAGGTATGGTTTGGCACGACGGACGCTTCATTGTCCATCATGCAACGTGCGCGACTTGATCTGCTTTTGTGTATAGGCAGGGCGTAGCCACAGCCTTGCCAAGAGAGAACACAGGGTTGACAAAAGCCCATCTTATTGTGACCCCCCCCCCCCCACAAATCCCCGGATATGGCTTACTTGTTAACAAGTGACACGGTTTTCTTCGTTTTATTGTTATTTTTACCTTGTAACCAGAACAGAAACCAGGAGCTACCGTGAGCTCAATTCGGTTTGCATTTTGAGGCCAATAAGCTGCAGAAATCAGGCGTTGAACGACTGCGTGGAAGAAATCACCGGCGCTCTTAATTTAAAATGATTAGCTGACCCTTTCTAAACCGATAGAATTCGGAACCTTTGTCCATTTTTTATCTGGGTTCTACAGACATTGAGGACATCACGAAGGTAGATTGTAGATAGATATGCTTGATCCAAATTTGAAGGCGAAAATTTGATTGCAAATCGAGTGGTCAACAATGTTTACTAACATGGCCAAGCCATGTTTGTCTGAAAATATTCACCAATCATTCAGAATCGATTAGTGATGCAATTCATGTAACGTGTTTTTTTCACATGCGCGCTCGCAAATCTTAGCAACAAAAACCTCGACACCAGGCGTTGAGGTCTCCGTAGTCCATGGGTCGTTAGCCCAGTAACTAACATTTAGTCGTGGCCCACCGGTGGACGAAAATGATGACACTTCTGAAATGATTACCTTAAAACACTTGAATCAACTAGTTGTACAAGTTATGTGGCGTAATTTTGAGCATGCGCACTCGAAAATTTTAGAAACACAAGCCCCGCCCCCAGGTGTTGCAGTCTCCGTAGACCGCGCAGCGCCGGCCTAGCAGCTAATATTAAGTTGTGGCCGACGGGTGGACGGAAATGACGACGCTTCTAAGAAAGTATCCTTGGACACTTCCCGACAGCAGATCTTGTATTTAGAAGGCAGTCTGAGGGCATAGTTCACGCGTTGGCACTGTTGGCACTCGCAGTGGCCGAAACTTATCGGTTTTACGGAAGTTGCAAACCAGACCATTCTTGTCATTGCTCTCGAGGTTGCGGACGGGCATGTAGGCCAAGCCTTTTGATGTAATTTGTTTCAATAATACATTCTGAAAGAAATAAACGTTCTCACCAAACATGGCATGACCTTCCTCGTTTTTTTAAATTCATTTCGACCCGTGCTTTTCAACAGTAATGACAGCCCCACTCTACTCAACTATAATGAGACCCTTTATTCCCTTCCGGGCAAGGAGTCTCTTGAGAAGAACACCAGGGGTACATTACCGTTTCCGTTCAAGGGCTGAAGGGCCATTCCGTCCCATCGCGAAGTGTCTTCTGGCTATCATTCTGGTAGCACGGGCGGGATCGCGTGGTCGATCCGGAGGTCATTAGAAGGATATATCATATCACATTGCTCCCATCCCTGACACGGGAGGCCTTCTGATCCGCGCAGTTAGCCCCGGATCAGCACAGGGACCCTCATTAACGCAACAACATCCCTGATCACCGCAGGCAGCCCGATAGTTTTTACATAGACTCCAGTTCCATGTTTTTCTGTGTTGTTCAGGGATATTGAGTTTTACCTGACTGTAGATTGCAAATAAAATGGGGTTCAAAATTTTTTATTAACACGGCTAGCCCATGTTCGTCTTATGACGCTCAAGATCCTGTCAGAGCTGATTACTGATAAAAAACTATGTAATATGGTGTTGAACATGCTTACTCGCAAGTCATAGCAATAACAGCCTCGACGCCCGGCGTTGCAGTCTCCAGGCCGTGCGGCGTCGGCCTTGCGGCTGTAACACTAAATGATGGCTAATGAGCAAACGAAAAAGATGACGCATCTTAAGGGAGTTGGCTGGTGAACTAGGCATATCAGCATGCATGTTTAATGCAGTGAAAAAGTAGGCCAAATTCAACCTTAATCTGGAAAGTGGGGTGGCCAGTTAGCATTGCTAGCCCTCCCCCACCTTGAAAAGTGGGAGGGGGGGGGGGCATGGCCCCCCTGGCCCCCTCCTGTTCCTAGGCCCATGTCTGAAGTTACCCGCTGTTCTAAACGACTGAGTCCACAATATAATCATATCCAACGGCTACTTCTTGTCCTAAGTAGGCATTTCTCATAAGTTCTTTATGGTGACTGGTGATCTCTTTATAAGTTCTTATGGTGAGTATAACGTACGTATCGTTTCTGAAGTGAGGGACGTTATTTCATTTATATTTATCATCTCTAACCACATTCGTCGCCTTAATGGCTTATGAACTCTCTTTTTGCCTTTAAAAATAAGGGAGCAGGTATGGGGTAGGTCAATACACTATTCTTACTGTGAGCGAGTCTACAGTCCGAGCGTGTATAAGCATCAACTAACTATACATTTTAACTGACTATGCAAACTAGACGTCAACAACTATGCCACTGTGTTTTTCTGACACTTTCACGGCTTACCACCTTCAACCAGGTACGTTAAGAATTTCATGCCAACACACCTCGCCAATCGAAACTATTATGGTAATCATTATCGGATCGAGGTACTTCACCTTACGGGTTCCGTCACCATTTACGCTTTTGTATCTCCAAGACAGTCAGGAAAACCTTACCATAGGAGGCCGTGTTACAGCCATCGTCCCTCAGCATCAACTACCCTCAGCACACCAGCACAGCAACTACCCTCAACAACCCTCAGCACACCATTTTGCAGACAGACTTCCGCAAAAGCATCCTTCGTTCGGGCCCCTTTAATGGTGGAGGGCCGGGCCTCCTTTGTGATGTGATGAGCTCGATATAGGGTTCCCCGGTATGGGCGTGACTGGCGCCCTCTCAGGAGGCCTGTCTCCCCAGACGGGTCGGCTCCCGCGCCGGAGGTGGCTCGCAGTATTTGCCCGCTACGTGTAGTGTGAACGCCCGCCCGTCCTCTCCCTACCCCCGCATATGGTGAGGAGAGCTAAATACCTTTAAGAAAAGATGCTGCTCAATGCCTCTAAGAAAGTGCATGCGGGTATCGTTTGTCTTCCTACACCTTCTCGTAAAAATGGAAATCTCGCATGCTGATTTATGGCATACATCCTACCTGTGTCTTAAATCAACAGGCGTTCAAGTCGTAGCTTCGATCCTTTATTGCTGGACTGGTTCTCCTTCAACTTGCACAAGCAGCCATCATTTTGCATCATTTTTATTAAAAATTACTTATCTTACACACGGAACACCGCGACGGCTTCCAATGCCCCATCTTATGATGCTGTACGTCCCACGACCACCTACTAAAGCCGCAGCGGTGCACGCCGTCGTTCCGACAAACAGACCGCTGCAGTCCGTCACGCAGCCAGGCGAAATCTTATTAGAAGCACCGGGGCTGGTCCGATTCCCAACACGCCCCGAGGTGCCGGGCCGTGGCCCGACACTAATGCCCGTGGTATTTGGCTGGGTGCTCTCCACTACACATTCATGCGGATGGTTCCAGTGAGTCCTGTTCCTGCTTCGGCTCCGGCTCTGGCTCCGGCTCCGGCTCCGGCTTCGGCTCCGCTCCGGCTCCGGCTCCGGCTCCGGCTCCGGCTCCGGCTCCGGCACTGGCTCCGATTTCGGCGCCGCCTCAAGCTCCGGCTCCGGCTACGGTTCCAGATCCGATTCTGTGTTCCGCAACTTTCCGACTTCGGCTCCGGCTCCGGTTCTCCGGCTCCAGCTCCGGCTCCGGCTCCGGCGCTGACTCCGATTTCGGCTCCACCTCAACCTCCGGCTCCGGCTACGGTTCCAGATCCGATTCTGTGCTCCACAACAATTTCGGATCACACTCGCTGCCGCCGCGGCTCCGGCTCCGGCTACGGCTCCGGCACCGACTTGGGCTCCGGCTCCGGTTCCGGCTCCGGCTCCAGCCGCTAGCAGCGCGGCGGTGAGCAGCTGACGCCGGCAGGAGTGCACTGGCATAGAGTACACTCGTCTGACAGCTCCTTGATCACCGTGTTCAGGCGGTACATGCGCCCAAAAATGTTGCAGCCGGACAGCTTCAGCGCACCTGCGGTAAGCACAAACTGGAATCACTCTGAAGCATGCGGGTGGTATTCGAGCGGCAAGACAGCAGGCCGGCCGTCATCACCAGCTGGAATGATTCGCTGCCGTCACTGGCACTGGATTATAGAAGTGCAAGATTACGTCGCATCAAGCAGCACATCTATGTGACGAAAAATCTACGCGACGCATCAGTTCTGCGTATTGCACAGCCATGACCCACGCACCCATTTAGCTCTCACGCCGCAATATTGCCGTCAAACACTACGCTCACACCCCACCGCGCGCTCTCAGCAGCCCCGCCGCCACTCACCAAAGAATGAGAATGGGTCACCGCCGGTGGAGAGGTCGTTCGTCTCTTCAGCCGGGGCGGCTGGAGCGGGCGGCGGCGGCGGGCGCTTGGTCGGCGGCGGGGTCACTGGCGCCTCCGTCGAGGCCGGCCGGGGGCGCGGCCGCGGCCGCGGCCGGGGCCGGGGCCGCGGCCGGTACTTGACGCGGTCGGGACGGCTGAAGAGCGGCAAGATCGGTCGCCGGGAGGGCTTGTTGCCGACCAGCGCGTCCGGCACGGATGCCGGCACGGAAACGCCGCCGCCGCGTGTGAAAGCCAGGTTGTCGAGCGAGACGGACGGCGGCGGCGGCACGGGCCGCGGGGCGGGGGTCTGCGCCGGCCGCGGCGCCGCCTCGGTCGTGGTGGCGGCGACGGAGGACGGCCGCGGCGCCGCCTCGGTCGTGGTGGCGGCGGAAGAGGACGGCACGCGCGCTGGCTTGGGCCGGATCCGGTTGCGCAGAATCGCGCTGAGGCTGGTCTGGGTGGTTGGCTTCGGGGTGGTTCGGGTAGAGGTTGAGGGTGATGGCCTGGTGGTTGGGGTTAGGAACGTTGGAGGCTTGAATTTGGGCTCCTCACGGAATTCTTCGTCGTCTGTCAACAGAGGCATTAGATTGGGTTAATGTAACGAATAGACTGTAGAACACAGAAACGCCAGTGTAGAGGCGAGAACAAGATACGCAACCTATTGGGTGCTTGCTACCATATTCACAGAAATTTTAGGAACGCTTAGAGACCACGGGAAGGTACAATCATGAACGTCGGTGGGCGGGCGTTAAAATAAAAAGAACATTTTTCAAGCCAATTACGTCAGATACGCAAAAATCTACGTCCTATCACAGTCACAATTCTTCTTAGCTGGCTATAGTATTTCAAGTACAAAGCAACTTCCTTCGTAGGCGCCAGAATATGAAGCGCACAGGGCGAAGTCAGAACATTACCACACGACTCCGGCTTGCACCACTCGTGCCAAACAAGGTGGCGCAGCTCCTGACCACCAGCAGAGCGGGCACTGACCGCAGACGAGCTCCGGGCAGCAGAAGCCGCGGCGCGGTGCGGCCCGGCAGGCGGGCGGCACGACCGGACACTCTGTGCTCTGGCAGAGCACGCGGCCGTAGTAGCACCGGCACACCAGGCACGGCTCGTCCGGACGGTACACCTGCTCGCCGTTGGAGTACCGGCGCGACTCGATCACGCACGAGTCTGCTGACGAAAGGACCAGTGACGGTCGGCACCGGTCTGCCCACGCTCCATACATGATATTAAGTAATCGCGACATGAAGGAGTGCGCGCTTTCCAGATATCCCATACAGGCGTGCACTTGACGATGAGCAGCGATTTATAGATCAACATCTTATCTGAAGCACGTTGGGCAGCGGCGAAGACGGAACATTGTCATGGTATTTGTTTTCTGGCAAACCTGATGTAGTCCGCTCACCTAAAGCACCTTTCATCAGGTTGAATTAAGTCGGCACGAACGTCTCTATCGCTGAAATGCTTACTTATTTCATTTTGACGCTCAGGCCCAGGATTCGTGCATCTCTAACAGAAATGTTCCCGTGACTCGACGCACACTTGCCTGGGTCTGCGCTCTGCTCTTCGGGGTTGTCGATGGCACTCAGGCCGTACCGGTTGCTGATTTTCTCCACGGCTAACTCGTCCGTGTACCGGTTTACGACAGCATCCGCTGCTACGAACGGTATGATCCTAGAGCAAACAGAACGGTTCACAAAAGCAGAACCAGGAGAATAAAACAATTACATCTATCAGCAAAAATGCTGAGCGATTGCAACGTTATCAACAGATAATTTCATCACCTTGCAGCACTGATTGACGTTTGCCAGCATCTGGCATTTATTATTGCATAATTACTCCAGAAGCAAATAAGAGTGCCCGCGCGTGAATCATCTCAGCGGTTACGACGTTAAAGGGTGCCCAACGAAGGGAGCGTTAAACTCAAGCTGACCTGAGGTTGGGAAGAGCCGGCGGCAGCTCCGGCTTCTCCAGCTCGGCGTGCCCCAGGACGTCCAGTGCCAGTCGCTCCTTGGCCGTGGTCGGCTCCGGCTCCGGCGTGGTCAAGACCTCAGCTTCTTCGGTCACTATCGTCGCCGAAACGGTCGTAGACGGCGGCGAAGTCACGTCAGGAGAAGCAGCGTCGCCCTCCTCTCGTACCTCTTGCTCCGGTCCCTCGGCGGTCGCAGGGCTTCCTTGGTCGGCACTCTCGCTCGGCACATCTCCAGGTTTTGAGCGGTCTAGCTCACCAGGCACCTTGCTTGATAACTCAGCCGAGCTGGTCGGTGTCGGTGCTGTAGAAGTCGCCAGCTCCAGCCGGTCGAGCTCTTCTGTCGCTGGAGCGGGTGCCGCGCTGGGTCGAGCGGTGCCCCTGGGCCTCTGTCGCCTCCTGGTCAGCAGGTCAAGAACGGCGAGAAAGCCGAGTCCTGGTCTGGACGGACGTCGGGTGAAGGTCGGCCGCGGCGCCGGGCCTTCCGTTGTTGCCTCTCCCGTTGTTGTTTGCTGCGTGCTAGTTCCACTCATTGGGTTTGCCACGGACGAGTCGGCGTCGCTATCGGCCTTGGCACCTTCCTCTTCCGTTCGGACCTCCGCCGCGCTGTCATCGATTTCTGGAACAGTTTCCGATGGGACCGAATCCGAACCGGGTGGGGCTCTGTCTGGAACTGAGTCCACCTCTGCTGCAGGGCTGTCCGTCGTCAAGTCTGGTTCGAGCCCGCTACCCTCCAGCATCTGCCCCATTCCAGATATCAACTCAGAGTCTGGCATCACGTTCATGTCGCCTTCAGCTGGTAATGCCATGGCTTCAAATCCTGACTGTGTACTATCTTCTGTGGAATCAATCACAGATGGGCTCGCCATGATGGGGGCCGGCTCAGATTTCGTGCCCTCGAACATCGTGCTTGCTCCAGATGCGATGCTTTCCGACATCTCAGGTAAACTGCCGACCGTCAATTCGCCAGCGGGCTCCATGTCCTCCACGACCTCCTCTTCCGGTGAAGCGTCAGTTGGGGATAAAGCCGGCACAGAGGACACTGGAGCTTCCGCCTCTTTTTCCATGGGCACATGTGGGCTTTCAGTCAGTGTAGTAGGCTGCGGTGCTGTGGTAGTGGTTATATCTGCCAAAGTTGCCACGACTTCCTTGGCTTGTTCTCCGACGTCGTTCTCATGCATCGTGGACATGTCAGCAGCGTCGTCTTGTGCCAAACTAATGTCGTGCACGCCATCGGTCAAGACTACCTTCTGGTGGGACTCAATCTCGCTGAGCACGGCCTTCATGATATTTTGCACGGCCGCATCTTGACGCGGGTCCTGGTCCGGTCGGCCGGAGCCCTCCTGCTCCAGCTCCCTCTCCTCCTCCGCCGCCGCCAACGCGTTCTCTATCCGCCTCTCGTCCTCAGAGTCGGCCAGGATCGGGATGGCCTGCGCGGCGAAGCCCGCGAACGCGCCGGTGACGGAGACGGCCTCCTTCGGTGCCGAGCCAGCGGGATCCTCCGGCTCTGCTCCCGATCCTTCACCGCCGCCTCCCTCTGCAGCACCGACATCCTCCTCCAGCGCCTGCTTGCTTCCCTCCGTCTCCATTCCCTCCTCCTCACCACCACCAGTGGTGGGAGGACCCGCCTCCTGGGCTGAATTGAGGGCGAGGAACACCTCCTCCTCCTCCGCCGGATCGTCGGCCTTCAGCTGGCGCTTGCGGGCGCTGATCTCGTTGCTGTTGACCTCCAGGTCGCGGACGGTGAGCAGGCCGGGGGTGTACTCCTGGTGGTGACCGCGCAGCGCCGGACCGGACACCTTGATGCCTCCGCTCTTCACGTGCACCTGGAAGATGGGCGGCGCGCGGCGGCGCGGGGCTGCCGGCTGGATGCGGGCCGGCGGTGCCGGAAACACCGCGCCGTAGTCGACCGCCACCACTGAGCCGTGGCCCACCGCGCCCTCCTGGAGCAGACGCGGCACAGAGTTAAGGCAGGGTCGGAACGGCGAGGCTGGGGCGCCAGACGAACCGTGACTGTCACGTCGCCGAGGCTCCTGCAACCGAGACAGTGGGGTCGCGGGTGAACGTCACGGAAACCGTGCCTTCAGACAGACCGTGACCACCACCGGGCCGCAGCCCATTCCCCGTGCAACAGAGCGGCGGCAGGTCGTAGGCTGAGCGGCACAGGGTGTGCAACTAAATCAGACTAGATGCACGCGACATTCGTCATCTGTTTCTTCACGTTGTCTATCACGGATATGCACTGTGCTGTCTGTTCAGCTCACCGCGACTGCCGGCTGGGCCGATCGGGCGAAGTTGACCGGCCGGGAGGCAGCAGGCTCCGCCGACTCCGGGGGCTGGGGAGGCAGCAGGACACATGATGCAAACAGGACGGTGGCAAACAGCACCGCCTATGTTTGACAGCCGAGCAACGTTCGGCATGACTCAGACTTTCCAGCCAGAGTCATGCACAGCGGTCATGATTCAGACGCGGATGTATCACGAACTGATGGAGGTTCGTAAGTGCAACAGAACAACTCTGTGGACATTCTCATTTATGTGCGCATATTTATGACATATCACACAAAATGACAGGTGATCAATGCGTCACAGTATATATGTGTAGGTTGGCATGTCCGTCCAACTTCCGTTGCGCGTAGCTCTTCCCAGGTACATCAGCTATGCCTTGGACTGCGCATTTCAAGCCTTATGTGCGAGGAAAGTGCCGCGTCTCCAACATTCCAGTAGATGTGGATTCAAATGCGCACTAACTGCCACTGAGCACGTGGTTACGGAGCGGTCGTGCGGGGACACCAGACCGAGCTAACAAGATACCGACGAAATCTTGATATTTCCAGTTTCTAATGAGAAGCAGGCAGCAGATGTCCTGTCACGCACCATGCATAACCCATGACGCGGATCCGTTGGTGCATGGAAAAGTACCCAGGCCGCCATGCTGTCACTCAAACAGTTGGCACCTGGGACTCAGTCAACCCACCCGGCACACTAAATGCGTCGGCGCCGTCCGGGTCTGTCTTTCCATGAACACTTCCGAAGCCCTGCACATATCGCACAAGTGTTCCGCCATCATTCAGTGCAAGTCAAGGGTGTGTTGTTCCCTATTCGATTGAGAGGGGGAGGGGTCTCCTACTTTAGAGAATACTGTGAGTGAAATCCGGGAAACGCGTTTTCGTTCTATATCCTTTTTTGATAGGTTTAGCCAAATTTCGTGCTCAGCCTCAACTTATTTTGGAAACCTTTACACGCCTTATGCAGGCTCATATATGGTTACTGTCGTGACCCGTTATACATGGTCTGCCACGTTGTCAGCGTCCCCGCTTCCTCAGCCGCCGAAGCCTCCGATCATACACGACGTTAAAGCACAAGCTCGTGCTTATGCCGGGGGGGGGGGGGGGGGGGCGACAGCACTGCTCAGAAGTCAATGAGGGCTGCCCACAGGGATAAGCCATACCGAAAAGATTCGTACATACCTCGGAGATCGAGTCACCGCCGCCGGCGTTATCGTACGCAGGAGCCGACCGAGCCCTGGCCACGGCCGGCGCCGCTGGGGACAGACCAAGCGGCGCTGAAGCGGTGGGCAGCTGCGCTGCACCGCGCTCAGAGGCGCGCCAGCAGTGTCGCCTCCCGCACGTCGGTGACGGGGAGTCACCGAGCGTGCGACAGGCTCCAAGCAATCACGCCACGCGGCGCTGGTAGAGTTTGCTCGACACCAACGACCTGCGACAGCGTGCCGGCCTCGCGCGACGCTCACGAACGTCCCCCGAGTGAGGTGTCTTCATTTGACTGCGAACCTAGCCACGGAGCTGCAGGAGCAGCCAGCACCAAACACACACCCGGGTTCGGCTATCCGGCGACGCGCCCATGGAGGCGGCACTCACAGCAGTTGTAGGAGACCGGACAGCACTTCGCCGGCTCCATGATGGGCGCGCACCCCTCGAGAGCCGGCGAGCACTGGACGGGCGCACAGCGCACGTTGCCGCGCAGGCAGAAGCAGGAGCGGCACGGGCTGGTCATATCAACGATACGCGACCCCTCCGCGTGCGTTTTGCCGTTGACTTCGCAGTCTGTCTCGAGAGGGGGGAGGGGGGGGGGGTTAAGTGTGGCCGCGAATACGCGCGCGCAGTCACTTGGTCGGACCGCGACTGACGTCGACTGAAGTACGGTTACAAGCGAATACCTGAACCGCGCTCTGGGCATCTTGTGTGTTTGAACAGAGTTGTGTATAATCAAAAAGGCAGAAACCACAAAGGTATGCCATACGCGGCAACACTCGTGAGCTGGTCAGAGAACTATGCAGGGGCACAAAATAAATTGACGTAGCATGCTTCAACCTCGTCCAAGATTTGCTTCCCCTCCATCTGAGTTTCAATATTGCTTTATGAGTTTATATATATATATATATATATATATATATATATATATATATATATATATATATGGTATCCATATAACACACAGCCATCTTCAAGCCAGCAGCGTTAGACGCCGACCTAACCTGGTACAAAATCTGAAATGCATGCAAAGCCAAACGAAACAGGGGCAAAAACCACGGTTTGCTGACCGGGCTATCAAAAAGCAGTATTTTTCATACCCTGGAGACGTTTTTGTTTCATCATGTTCGTGTTATTCATCACTTTCACCATTCATGAACCTATACGTCATTTTACGTTCGCGATGCTCTATGGTCTTTTTCCTCAAATCCTCAAGCAGAGAGTGAGGAATTGGTACATGATGAGACAGAAAAGACCGGCTGCGGAGCAAAGTTTACCAGGTTTTCTGATTACGCCCACGACACAGGATCGGTTTCGTTCCGGTTTAGCCCATTTTCCATGCATTGAAGATTTGATACCGAATTACACACTGTCATGGCACGCCATATTTTGGCGCGCAATGCATCAAGATGCATCCTTAAACTCTATCTAGAAATTGTCTGACAAAATTGGGTTCCTATGTTTCGTTATAAAAAACAACCGAGCGGTCTGTGAACAAAGCATAAAATCGCTGAACGGTGAAACGATGAGATGTCCGTACCTTGTGAAGGCTTCTCAGTTGTGGTGGTGCTGGTGGTGGTGGTGGTTGTACTTGTAGTAGGAGTTTCTGAAAAATGAGCACGTATCTACATTTTTAAGAACGTTCAGAGAATAGCCGAAGATACGGGGGTGTTTAATCAAAGCCGTTTTATTAGTATAAGCTCGACGACAGGGACGACGCGCCTAGCTTGCATTGTTTTCTTCTGGCAGTGAACGTCATTGCAGTTGATTGCTTTTCTGTAGACACCAGTATTGTTTTCATGGGCGGGAAATCCCGTGGTCGTGAGTAAAAGAAAAAGTTAATTGAACAGCATATTGTGCGAGTGTCCAAGCAACACGTAGGCCAAAGCCATGCCATGCTATTTCTGATTTCTAATAGTTAGTTGGGCTTTCTTCAAGACTCAAAAGTGTTCTTGTAAATCGAGTAGGGAACAGGCAGTATCCCAGGAGACATCCGCATGCCAAATCATGCCGTGTGGCCGTCGGAACTTGGCCGTCTCGCCGCCGTCGGTCGTCGATGTGGCGCCTTACTGCAGTCGTAATCGGTGGGACAGCAGGCATCGAGCGCGCGGTACCGGGGCTGACAGCCGGCCTCGGACAGCATGCAGCGTGGCTGCACGCAGCGCTGCTGGCCGCGGATGCAGAAACAGTACTCGCAGCTCGACGAGGTGAGCATAGCCGAGCCGTCCGCGTACACAGTGCCCTCTATCGAGCAGCTGCCTGCGCCGAACGCCCAGCGAGCGTTATAGGCGGCGATAGTCGCGCGGCCTTTTGGACTCAAGGTACCCGGCTGTGTTTGCGCACAGGAATTGTGATAAGGATCTCGCCAGGGCGGCGTGGGCCACCGTGATGCGTGTCAGAGGGCGTTGGTAGAGATGAGCGGCTGAACGTAGGAATGAGTAGGGTCAGATCAGGTAAGCACAAGGTAAGCACCTCGAGAGATGGTAAAATGCAGCATCCAAGCCGCGCGTTAGACAATGTCTTTCGTTAAAAATTTGTGTAAATGAACACCGCACACGCAATTGGTAGCACACATGCGATGAGTCGACATGAAAACATGCACTTGGTATTTACAATGCACCATGCATTTGCGAAGCAGGTATAGTACATTGTTATGCAAGTTAACAAGTGCCTGGAGAACTTTGGGCAGCATGCCTCCTGAATACGTCTGCACGGCCAAGGATGTCAACATGAATATTGTCTCAGTTAAATGAATGTTGCTATGAATGCCATACGTCGTCTGCCATGCGTTACCTTCTTCACCCGCCAACGCTGGAGGGAAGTCGAAGTTCGCTGTCGAGTTGACCGCAGCTTCGTCGTTATTGTCTTTGCGCTGAGCTCTTCTGACGACGTTGATGTCGGTGTCTGCAAAGTATGTCTCTGTTGGTTTGAGGGCTGACATACAAGATACTGAAAGCCCAGCTTGTTTAAACGCTTGTCTTAAATACATATTCCTTCCAGGAAACAAGTAAAACATCCTACTTAAATGCGAAAATGACGAATAACAAATTATACCAACTATGACAACAGAAATTTCCATTGTTCGAAACCGGGACAGGACCAAGAGCGCCTATCGCAACCCTTTCGGCTCGCTGCGAGGACCCCCGCCGCCACCGCCGTCATCTGGCTCTCGCTCCGGCCGGTCGTACCACAAATCAGCTCCGAGCAGCAGCGACCGTTGCGGGTGACCAGGAAGCAGCCGGGCGGCGGCGGCACGGGGTACGTCGGGCACACGCGCAGGTGGCACGTGATGGTCAGCGAGGTCGGGTGGCACGTGCAGTTGAGACACGGCTCCGTCGACTTGATGACGGCGCCCGGCTCGTATAGCTGGCCGCCGTACGCGCAGCCCGCTGATGACGTCAGACCGGTGAGAGAGGGACACGTCATTTTGATGACGCCAGAGGGGTGAGAGACACGTCACTCGGACCGCATTGGAGCAGGCTGGGCTTGCAGCCTTCCACACTGCGGGCGACCAATAAATAAGGGGCTGGCCGAATGGAACATCGCGTGAGGATTAGGTCCTGATACGAAGTTCGTCATGACCAAGATTGGCTAAATAGCTCACAGTGTCAAAAGTCACGGTGAATAAAACACATGCGTGAGCACGATCGACTACTGCTATCATAAGGCAAATTCGTACGTACTGAGTGAGAGCACCAGATAGGATGAAATGAACTCACTTATAACTGTTGGTTTTTAACTATTTATTTTTTAAAGTGAAAATGACCACTCTAGAGAACACAAGTTATCCGTTAAGTAAATATTCTTCTCAACACGCGATTGTTTGAATACAGCATTGAACGTTACACAACATCGAGTGAGAGCCAATTGACGGCCATTAAATCTGGAAATCGTGCTCACGATCGCCAGATTTAAACGACTTGACAATGATATTCTGATTGGTCTTGGTCACAACATAGATCATGGAATGGCAAACTTAAAGGACGTTATTATAGCCATGAATGCCTAGACGACCTTGAAACGGTCTTCCCAAAAAAGTGTGCACACCTTCGCGGCCGTGAAGCTCAAAAAGTGGAGGGGCTTGGGTGTTGCGAAGGGCAGGGCTATGAACTGCACTGAATGATTTTCAAGATGACTATTTCAGTTCAAAACCACACACAAGTGTGGAACGCTCCCTTCAGCATCTGTAAATTAGGCTGGTTTTTACAAAGGCTTTTGTGTCTTTCCACAAAAGGAGCCGCTTAATTACCTGATATCGCTCCTTCTATCGCACATCCATCCATGTGTTGCTGTTTCTGCCGTTGATCCACTATTACACCGCCCAAGTGGCGGGCGAGTGATAGATGCTGAGATGCTTTGCAAACTTAACCGACGTGCGTGGCACATAGCTTAACCGTTTATCGCACTAACCAGCGTATTAGGTGCCAGTGATCCGCCGGCTTTACAAACACACTGACAGCTCGCTAGCCTGTGTCCGTCAAAGCGATTCTAGTTGACAAGTGAAGCCAAAATCAGCTGGATCTGGGCCGAATCAGCGAGGCTGCGCTCTTCGGTAATTGTCCAGACCAATGCGGCGTTTTACAGCTTCGATAGCCCCGATCAGCCGTGCCCGGCTCTTTGTTCTGGCGCTCGGTGCTCTCACGCGATGACCCCAGCTGAGGGTCGCACTGCACACCGCCCCACACGGCCACACGTGGCGGTTGAACGCCCTGTTTAGAGGTGCTCTCTGCAGTCGAGGAGACTGATTGGTCGGTCTGGCTCTGTGGTTAAGTTGCTTTAGGAGACGTTGCGCCCTCCCCCCCCCCCTCTCTCTCTCTTATCTGATGTGCGGATGACAGACAGGAAAGGCCAAACGACCTTTGTTTCTATTAGCCCGAGGGCCAGGCATTAACAAGCTCACGACTGTGTAGCGACTAGGCGACTAGGCCCCACGAATCTTCCTTCAATAGTCAGTCAGTTTTTGGCCCAGGGATTCCGCTGTCACGCGGCCTATTTCTCACGCCTTCTGGAACCTAAAAGCCTTTAAACCATCGATCGCAGTGTCATTACACTTTCGGGACCGAGAAACACAATTTTTAAATGACTGTGCTTTAATGAATTTGAAGGCATTTGCATATACCTACTTCATTTTTCTGTTGTTGAATTTGTATATCTAATGCTTACAAAAAGCTCAAAATCGAGCCCATAGCCCGGCGACCCGGCGTAGCAGCGACACGAGAACGATACGTTTGATAGGTAAAAGGATATCGAACGCTCCCATTGCAAAAACTATGGACCAATATTTACAGCCTGTCACGTGCGTTGGAGATCAAGCCGTGCATCCACCCGTTTGGGGGCGATCTTTTGGGTGATTGATATCAGATCTCGGTCATCAAAACAAAAAAGGACGGGAATCCAACTATGAGATGTAAGCAAATGCGCCGTCTACGAATCGTCAAGCATAGGTATCACAGCAGCCTGCAGGTGCTCCAAAGGGTGGGCCGCGGTGTAAAGAAGTCCATTTGCAAGATGACGTTCCAGACTTGTTGCATACAGAAACCTCCAGAGATGTCGTGCATCCTAACTTGAAATCAGGAACTTTAGAATGTCATTTATACTATAGAATAGAATACATTTATACCATACTATAATATATAGAATATCATCATTTATTTAGAATATCATTTAGAATATCATTTACATATCATCATACCACGAATTTGTTGGACGCTGAAGTACAGCAGAAGACTTGCGCCCCACAGACCCTCCCAGGTCAGATCCTTCGTACAAACAATCGAATACGTAACGTAAACAAATGTATCGAAAATCAAAACCAAGGTCAGGCACCGGCGTGCCTAACTCATTCAAAATGCTATCTTTGACGGCCGGGGACTAACAGGAGACGAATTACCTACCTGGACAGGAACTTACCGAGGGGTGTTGACCTATACAGTGAATGACCACATTCCCAGACGTGCAATGCGACCCTGCAAAACCTGATTCCATGGCAAAGAATGCACTTTGCATCTGCAAGTGAGGACCAGAGCTTAGAAGCGCTGTGGCTTAGCGTTCTGTGTCAAATGCTGGCTTATCGCGCTATATCGGATTTGCGGGTCGCGTTGTTACGGCAAACCTGGATGTTGTCTGTGGGGAATATACTTCCTGGTCCCGTGGGAATGGGCTTGCGGTTCACTTGTGGAATCCTGAATGACTCTTGCGGGACTAGCAATCTTTTCTATGACTGTGATTGTCTGTGCATGGGCATGGCAGAATCGTCTTAAGCTCCTATGTGTTACCTTTTCGACGGATAAGCAGCGCTGCCAGACTGGAAGGTCGATCATCTGAAACAAGGAAAGCGTCATCACCGGACGAAAATCAACGCGTTTCCAAACAAGCTCGTTCGCTGCTGTTTGTGATAGACCAGTGTGTGCGAAAGGGCCGCGCTGGTCACGAGTTCAAAAGCTCACCGCGCTATCTGCCAGCCTGACCACGTGACCTGCCAGCCAGACCACGTAACATTCCCATGACGTAACCTCCGATTGGAGAGTCGGGGCACGCCCGGCACGTTCGGCCAGCTGGCTCCGTGGGCCCGCACTGGGCCAGCGCCGTACTGCAGGTGAATGAAGCCGCAGCCACGACGCGCCGACCACGGCCCGCTGACTCAGAGATACAGCGCCGCGCACGGCGCGATGAACGGTGCTTCGACCCCCATCTGCAGCGTTGCGGGAACCAGAGTCCATTTTGAGAGGGTGGGATGCGAACAATAAATCGGTCCTGATGCGGCTGAGATGGTTTTATCGTCTTCTTTTCTTGCGGCGGTGAGGGCACTTGATTAGAGCAAAACAGATGAGCCACTACAATTACTGGAAATCCCTACGGGCGCGATGCACGTCTGGTATCTACCAGTTTTATAATTTAGTGCCTTCGTGCTGCGGCAACCGGTCCAGCGCAATTCAAGGATATTAACTTGACTCTATGCCTACTACGGTGCTGTAAGAGGTTGCTGGAGCTAGCTCGCCCGCCTGTTGCATGTGGGTAAATTAGTTCGTTCCAATCAATCTGCTTCTGGGAGTTACTCGGGCTCGACATGCACTGTCTAAGCGTAAGCAAAAAGATAGGAAGATGGGAGGAAAGAAACACAGCCACATGCCAGAATTGACATCAAAGCTTTGGTTTAATACACGCCACGTTTATCAGTGTCAACAGTGGAAGCATTGTAATGCAGCTGCTTTGAATAAGTGGAGACAAACCCTGCATTTTGCAAGGAGCTATCTTATCTCAATACAGAACGGATGACAAAAGCTGGATTAGCACTATTTATCCAGCTCAGATCATGGCTTGTACGTTCTCTGAGCCGAATCCGCTGAGTTCTAGCCTGAGGAGTCCACACTGTCCTTGAAGGAAGTGGGCACTTTTTGCGCTTTGGTGGTCCTTGTATTTAAACCTGCACACATCACTTTTTTGCACCAATGAATTTAAACATATAATAAGCCAAAAGGGCCAGCCAGCCCCAATTCACATTCCAGTGGCAGCATCGGTCAGGCCTCCAGGCGAAGCGAGGGAAGGGCTCATTGTTGACGTTCGTGCCTCTGCGACTGGTGGCCTCTCCCACTCTCACACACCGGCTGCTATTTGCAAGGCGAACCCTTTGTTCCCAGGAGGAGCGCGTTTTCCCATGGGCCGACTCAAGGCCACTGGAACTGACACCACCCGGCGGAGGGGAGCCACCCGGCGCGCTGTGTGTACAGCACCACCGCTGGGGTCTCGTGTTTTTGTTCTGAGAAGCGGGTCAATATTTTGAGGGCGAGGCTTTCCGCTCGACGCCATGGGGACCAAACAGATGAGTCATGCCGTGGTCAACGTTCTACGGCATAAGCTAGCCATCACAGACAATAGGCTCTTGGAATCTATGCAAGAACTGAAGTGAAACGAAACCATGAAATCGCGTCACGGTGCGTGTAACAGGCCAGGCAGCTTACATGTGGTCACTTTTTCCTGTCATCTAACCATTATGGATAAACGGCTGCGGGGCTCCCAGAAAACCGAGATGTTCCAAATCTGGTCCGACGGTCGTTGCCAATAGCTCAGTTTGTTGGAGCACCCGTCCTCCGATTTACCCGCCCGTGATGAGGTGGGCTCGAGTCGCCTTAGACGGACCATACCGAACATGGCGGCAACGTTCGGCTCTCACGAACAAGGTCTGCGGCGGACCAGGAGATTCCGATCGGTAATGAGGTTAGAACTCACCCACCAATGTCAGCGACTACTCAGTGAGGTCGCTGAGCCCAAAAGCCCAATCAAAAGGTTTGGACTAGATCTTAAAAGAATACAGCGTACGACATCTAGTGATTTCCCACTCCTGCAGCAACAGAAGCACATGGTGTGCCAGTTGAACCTGTTGAGTGGAAACTGCAGATGCCAACCTTCAAAGTCGTAGGGGTTGTGAGTTGATACGGGCTTAAAGAGCTTTAGGCTAGTCTTAGTTGAGTTACATTTTTGCAAAAAATAAAGATGGGAGAAAAACTACCTGCATTATGGTTTACTATCGTTTAGTCGTTAAGTTTTCATGCCCTTCCATCTTCAAGTGGGAATCTTCCATTTGACATATGTTCGTCAAATAATTAAACAAATCACTTTCATTGTTGGTGGGGGAAACTCATAATTCACCGACTAGGTGGCACCTACCCCAAGCAGCTCCCATTCAGCTTCACTTGCACAGGTGTCCGCCCACCCAACACTCTCTGAGGTTGTCTGATCGTGTGTCGGCCTGTCTGGTCCCGTCACAGTCTGGTTGGCCTGTATCAGGCTGCCTGCTCTTGTCTGACCATGTCCCTCTTCAGCCTGTCCAGTCCCCTCACAACCTGTCCTGCCTTGTGTCAGGCTGAGCATCCCCGCCAGCCTGTCATCCCCCGCCGGTCTGCTCGGCACCGGGCCGGCCGTCCCGTCCGGTCTGTGACCCGCTCCCCTGCACGGCCGACGGCCGCCCGGTGGCGGCACGTTGAATGACCTGAGTTGTGTGGCGGCCGCGCCCGGCCCGCTGACATTGACTCCGATCAAGGCTGGACGGTGGTCGGCCCCAGTCAGGCGGAACAAAGCCGCCACCTGGTGCCATCCCACCGCGTGACGACGGCCTCACGTGTGCGCCGCTGGCGGGACGGCCGGTGGTGACGCTGGAGCCGTTTCCGATAGGCTAAGAGGATCGGAATTTGTATGTGGGTGACGGTGTTGGGAGGTACTTTGGATTTGACGCAAACAGGTTTTTTGTTTGCTTAGTTTCTGTCTCGTTCCAGAAAAGGCGAGGATGTTCCGTGTTTACTGCGCCCATTGGAGCGCATTTCCCTTTAACGGTTTGTGAGAAGTTTGCACTGCTGAACTACTGTTTGTTTGTATTTGCCACTGCATTTAAATACTTCAAGCTCAAAATACTGCGCGCACAAAGTTCCACGCAAACCATTTGGAACACCAGCGACGTCATACACAAATTGCTTCCTGCGATTCACGAAACGTTCAACTCTATCATAATACATCTAGTTCACTAGAAAGAAATGTATATAATATACAGTTAATACCTATACGATTACATTTCTTTATTTGGGGATATTGATGCAAAAGTTACGCAGTCTAACTACTAAACAGCATGTCTTGAGATAAGCACCCATAAACAGACGCGCACACCGTGCTATCATGACAAAAAACGGTTATGATAATCTAGCCCGCTAAATGATGATGGATGAATGCTATTTTGTTCGCGGTCATTTATAGTGAAAGAGCTGCGTGATTGATACGCTTTTAGATAATGACTAGCGGGTATCATTGAATTGACAAAAGGCACATTGCAAGTCACCTCGCTCCCGGACTGCCTTGTGCGTAGTGGTGATCGACATGGAAACTTTGCAATATTGGTTTCTGCTCAGTCAATAACTTAAGCTTCTAATTTATTTTAAATGTAGTGAATCCTAACCATGATAATTTTGTCGTTTAAGCTGCAATACTGTCAAGCTTCTAATTGAGGTAAATTGCGATTTTTTTGCGTCAAGCGTCTAATTTTTTGCGCGTCAAGCTTCTAATTGAGGTAAATTGCGACGTCTAAACACGCAGAATAAGTGAATGCAAAATGAGCATTTACGTTTATAACGTTTCAGGCTACGGTTACATAAATTGCTTTTTAACACGAAACGCTCGGATCACTCACGTTCAATACAAATTAAAACTCATCTGATGATCAGGAAAAATGTCTGTACTGTTCATGAAATCCCTTACGTCATCGATAGCAATCTGTCTGACTGCATATAAGACGATCCGGTTTTTCTGCGCAATGTGTTGCTTTAAGTGACGCATTCGATTTCCGACGCCGATTTTGATAGACATAACATAAAATTAAACAAGCATAGTTCAGATAACCATATATCATGTCTTGAAGCACTGCGTAGCGTGTCACTTCTCCTACTATTCTTAAAGGACTACGTAGCATGTCACTTTAAACATTGCGATCACCCAGGAATGGAGTAAGCGTGCGTTGATTATTCCTCCCACATTCAAACGGACCTAGAGGTAAGACTTAGGCAGAAGAGTGGTGCGTCCGTTAGTTGGCTGGTGCGCTCTTTCCGCCTCTATAGAAGTCAAACGTCCCTATTGTTAACGATTCTGCACCCCGGGTGGAAAAGTTATTGGAAGCGTCCCACCCAGTGCTACTGTTCAACTCGGAGTTGAAGTCTATGGGACTGCAGCGGAGCACGTAACGACATCCCGGGTCGAGTTACAAGATGCTGGCTTTGTAGTTTACGACTACAAGGAGCGATCAATCAGCAGGATGGTGCAAATCACATAGCAAATTGGCTGTAATGATCTTAACAGGGATGATCTTAGCGTCGTTCTTGCATGATCATTTAGGCGCACCATGAGGGATGGTAGAGTGCCTACGATATTTGCCCGAACTGAATGTACATGCCATGATGGGATCTTTTCCATGCATCACGCGCAATGACTCTTTGAGGTATGGGTAATTTACGCCTTGGAGAGGGATATCAAGATACGGGAAGAATTGCGCCAACAATTCGACCTGTGCTCATGCAAATGACGTGGATGGATTCCTTAATGAATTATGCGATTCATTTGAACAATGTGAATAGATGTGTATTTGTTTTATGGATACATTCTTTTAAGATACTAAAACTTCTTGAGTAACCACAGTTAATTGTGTTACATTTTCACGCAATGCACGAACGTCTCGGACCACTCCCTCAGGTCCGACGCCACACAGCCGCACACCGGCAGCTCAGAAGCCAGACGCTACGCACATACCTCTCGTCTCAAGTCTCGCAAATCTGTCCCCGCGAGCCATTAACATAGCAGCCGCTATCCTAGGCCATCGGCCCCGAGCCGGCGACCGGTCAGCCGAGGGGGACAGACGGGGTCAGGCTTACCTGTCGGTCCCGCGGCGGCCGGCGCCGCCAGCACGGCCAGCACGCCGAGCACGCCGAGCACCGTCGGCGCCCGGAGCACCGCCATCGCAGGAGATGCGCCCATGACAGCCGGCGCCGCACAGGTGGCGGCTGCTCTCGGCGGCGGCGGCGGCGGCGAGGTAGGCCGGCATTCAGTGGGCACTGACCGCGCCGGCGGCGGCGCCCGGCGCAGCATCCCACACCGCTCTGAGTCACGAACTGATCCAGAGCAGGGCGTGACGTCACGGCACCGAAAACATACCGCCGGAGGAGGATGGGGAGACGACGGTGTTCTTCTCAGACGTGGTGCTCGGGAGGTTTTCCTGTGCAGCTGGAAGAGCCTTAAGCTCGCTGAATGAGAGCAAAATCTGGGAAATGTCTTCTTTCACTTGTATCAAAGTTTGGAAAAGTAGCTTATGCCAGTGATGTTTAAGGGAAGTGTTCCACACCTGCATGGGGCTTTGAACTAAGATCTTGAATGTCATTCGGCACAGTTCCCAGCCCTGTCCATTTGAAAATCTAAACCCATCTAGTTTCTGAGCTGTACGCACGCGAGGATGAGCAGACAATTTCATGCAGACTATCTTAAGGTCACCAAGGCATCCATGACGCAATAATAACCTTATTCAAATTCTTAAATTTCATTGAGCATGTGGCGGTCATGGGCAAGATGAACATTATTGTCGAGTCGTTCATATTTGGCGCTCGTGAGCACGATTTATAGATACAACAGCCGCCCATTGGCTCTCGATCAATGCCGTTCAGGGTACGACTTCGTAATGAAGCGAGGGCGTATTGAGGAGCATATTCACTAAATATATAATTTGTTTGGTCTAGAGCAGCGTTTTCCACGCAAAAGCATAACAATGGTTATAACTGAGCTTATTTCGCATATCTGACGCTTGCTTCTTCAATACCTTCAAATGTGTAACATTCTCTGAAAGCGTAAATACCTGTATTTAACTACTTGTCCGCATTTTGAAAGCAAACAATCTCACTTACTAATGTTTTTAGGTCACGTGATAGGTTCAATGCATTTGATATCATTGTTAGCAACGTGAAAAACAAATGTTTAACAATAACCATTGGATTAGCTCGATCGATAGTGTTTGTAACGCCTGGCGATCCCACATACCGGCGATATCACGTACACCCGGCTGTCAGAAACTCCAAAGCTAGATTCCTGGTACGGAGGTGGCACTCGCCCCATTGCTATTCAGGCGACATCGTCGACATGCATCTCAGAGATTCCGAGGGAAGAGGCGGCTCGCTCCCTGACATATGTCGGCATGAACCTGCTCGGAATTCGTGCCCGTCACGTTGTGGCTGCTATGGTGCGGATTCCTATTCGCCTGCGATCCCGCTGAAATACATTTTTTTCACGAGACATAAACCAATAATCGTGATGCACGGCATGGACGACACATGCCTGAAAGGTCTCGGGTCAAATGTACCATTCTTTCAGAACGTTTTGTCACATTCGTCATACCACCAAATACGCTGCAGGACCATGAAAGGACGTTTATATATATATATATATATATATATATATATATATATATTCGTGAGTATCAGCAGTAAGTTTGCTGTAGTGCATATATCGGAGAAAATGACGGCAATTTGGTGACTTGTTTGGTCCTTGCCAAGCTTTTCTGGCACCAGAAGGCATTTTCTATCAGCATTCGAAAAATTATGCAAGATCGTGCGGATATTGCTATCGCGTAGCGTTTTGTTACATATAAGAATATCATCAGGCATACAAAACAGTCACAATAGCACTATATGATATTCAAGAAAACGTCTAGAATCGCGCATTCGCAGTACATTGCCTGAATGCGAAAGACCATCAGTTATATGAAGATAGGGTGCCTGTCATGTCCATTTTTTCCGCTTTACAATGTCATTCCTATCTCTAATATATACCGCTTCTGGAGTCAAAACTTTGTTCCGTTGTTCCGAGCGACCCGTGAGCCATACGTTACTCTTAAGTGCTTTTTTGTAGCACCACTTGACAGGTGATGCGGCAGGGCAATGATGCTACGCAACCAAGATAGGATGAGCTGTTGCCGCGCGCACAGTCGCTAAGGGGGCACCGGAGCTCATACACGATGCTCAGAACCTTCAGAGCGTGTCTCTGTCTCGTGCTAAGTATCTCGTGTCTCCTGCTAAATTGTCAATCATGATGGGACCAGACACGCCTGGGTTTTTGAAGAAAATCAGCAGTTCAATTTTTCCCGAGGTCAAGTAGGTACACATTTGTTTTGGGTCCATGTCACAATAAATTTCCATCTTCTTGTAGGCGATGCACATGTTTCCTTCAGATCATAAGTTTATTTACCTGACTTCGTCGTGGTCAAGCTCGTCAGGTTCCTGTTCCCCAGCGTTGTAAAAGCACTGTTTGGTAGTGGCTGTCTGTTGTGGCTCTCCATGTTGATCATTCTATGGTTGCCAATTAACATGATCCCTTTTGTTCTCTGCTGCTCCTGGTGCAGGAGCGTCCAGACAGAGAAGCGTCTGATGCCGAGGCGGCCACATGGGAATGACGCCATCTTTGTATCTATCAGAGCACTCAGTGACACCGTCCAAGCATTGTCCAATGTCAGTGGGCAACAAAATGCTTCGTACAGAGTGCCTAATATTGCAAGCATTTTGATAAAATTTGAAATGAGCATGTTTGAGGTCACCGAATAATGTGAGATATATGTTCGTACTCAGGTGACATTCTTTCATCAATGCGAGTTATGTTATATACAAGGGTAAATGCACATTCAATCCGCTTCTTGGGTGCTTGCGCGATTTTTTGATTCCAATCCTTCGTTGCCTTTGGTAAGTCATAAATCAGTTCCCCTGCAGTCCTTTACTTTAATCAGTTTCATGTCGCTAAAGTTTCCATGACAGTCGTTCCCCATTCTCAAAGCAATGTAAGACAGTCAAATAGAAAGCACTTCAATATGGCGAAATACAACGCGTGCTCTACGAGACATAATCAAAGGTGAACCATCAGCTAACAAATCATGCATCCGAATATCAGGTCAACTTACAAAACACAATCAAGCACAAGTGCGTCACTTTTCCAACCATTTTGACACCATGGCAAGTTCAAGGCATCAAATCACCTTGCAATCATTAGGTGACTGAACAGGTTCAAATGGACGCATGACGTAAGCCGTTCATTTAGATCAGGTATTCTTTCTCTGATGAGGATGGCTTCGATAACTTCTGCACGGCGTTTGTTTGGACATTATTTTAGAATCATGCGCTTTCAGTTAAGTCAGAGCGTGTACTTTTTTACTGTGGGTTTTACGTATATATTGATCTGGTGCTCCCTTCTGCAGGTACATTGTCACGCGTCGTGACGGCGATGTCGTGATCATTTCAATACGGGTCGAGCTATCGAGAACAGGCAATGCGGGTCGTTCCAACATGCGCCGAGTTATAGATAATTTAACATAGATCGAATCCTTTGCCATATTTCAGCATAGGATCCCAATATAGGTCTGTTATCCGCTCGTTTGTACGACGCGCTCTAAAATATCTCTCCAGCTGGGCTAACACGCACAACGAATTTGAAAGATACAAACATTCGCTCATTAAAAACGGCTGTCCAAACAGCGTGATCAGCAAATTAGAGCCACCTTGAATCGACAAAACCTGAAACCACTCGACAAGAAACCGGCCCATTAACGTTTTTATCGAAATCAAAGTTCCCCGTCATATAAGGTGGACGAAAAAGTTTTGCGGAGAATCGTCGGGACAAATGTCACACCGACTTAATTAGGCTGCGCTGCGGTTTTTGCAAGCGACACCTATAGCTTTGGAAGAATCAACTTGAAGTGTAGTGACTTTTCCAACATTGGGTTTTAAACCTTGTCTCAAATTTTCAACACTCAGTCTTGACCAGAGGCGGATTTAGGACAGGCCTGATGGAGGTTTGGTCACGCTTGATCACACTTTTCACGCTTTACTACACCCCTGAACTGCAGTGAAATTAATCAAATGAACTCCCCTTTGGCGTATTTGGCATCGTACCGACGCGTAACATTTGTATGAATGATATACATGGTGAAATATAATAATACAACGGCTTAGTCACTTAATGTGTGAGGAAGATGGGGCAGTTCATGACTCTGTACATGCCGATATATCTAATGATTTCCAATCGGATTGTGAAGTGCGTGGACGCTGCATGAATTGACGAGACATCATTTTAATAAATATGAATCCCGTACTTCGCACAGGGGCGGATTTAGGCATGATTTTGGGGGCACTTTGAGTCAGTTCGACACAGGCCGCAAACAGGTTTATCCGCTGACTGCATAAGCAACAATATTGACTATACCTAGAGGGGCCGGGGGTGGTTCAGGCTGGTGGCAGGGGAGGGTAGGATATTGCTGGATGAAATTACATGACAGTTCACGTTTAAATATGTACGTCACACATACGTTTGACAAACAGCATATGTTGTATTGACCAGGGGCAGATCCCTACACCGGCGGATCCAGCCGCGCCTCGGGTGTGGATTGAGGGCGACAATGGATCCCGCTGTTACATCCTATTGCGGTGTAGCAGCGGGAGTGCTAACAAACGCATTGCGTGCCGACGTGGTCTCTCGGCCGGCGTGACATGCCAAGTAAATTACATACACATGGGACACAATCGGTGAATTGTGAGGAAATACCATTCCAGATACCAGTAATTGTGCATTTTAGGGAGCACCCAAGTCCTTGTCTTATCTATAGTCACCTACGATGAATTTCAGGTGACAGTGGCGTCTTTGGAAATCCGTCGAAGGCAAGGGCCGGACTACACTGATCTCTATGACATTAGGACGCCTGCAAGCCTATGCCGCGCAGTAATCTACGTCGCAAAAGAAATTTCAGGCGTTCAAGGCGGACATGGTCCAACCCTCCCCCTGATCGCACTTCTGCATAATGCAAAAATGACGCGAGCATGGACCATATACCTGCTGAGGGTTACATTACGTGAAGCTACACATTCGCATTCGAATCCTTCTGTGCCTAAGGTCTCCCGTCATGTAGGAGCATAGGCGCTTACATGAAAGGTCGC